AGATGCCTCATGTTGGCCCCAACTCTGCTACAAATTGCCGACCTACAGCCCCAAGATGCCTCATGTTGGCCCCAACTCTGCTGCAAATTGCCCACCTACAGCCCCGGTGTGGGAGGCTTTGGTGCAGAGCCAGGTCAGGTTCAACAGGGTTCCGGAGAAGGTTCTGGAGAAGGTTCCAGGAAGCTTTGGTGCAAAGCCAAGTGGGGTTCAACGGGGTCCCGAGAAGGTTGCGAAACAGCTCCCGGAAAAGGGTTTGGGAATCTTTGGCGCAGGGCCAGGTCAGGACAGGGTTTCCAGCGCTTGGCTTCGCAGCACGCTTCAGAAAGATTTGGAAAAATAAAACGTTGCGGCTGTTGGGGATACAACCGAAATTTATTTTGGAAAAAAGAGGATTGTCCACATTTTTGGGGGGAGCATCCTGGTCATGATTTTGTAGAGGTCTATTTTGAAGGCCCAGTGAGATTCTTTTTGAATTTATGATGAACCATTGCCATGACACGCTGGCCATCGCACGTGTCACAGGTGAGCCAAACTGTCCACAGCAAGGACAACAAAATTCAACCGTTTTTTTTTAGCAAGAACAATTTTGAGGGATACAGCCTGGCGGTATTGCAAATTTGGGGGCATTTGGAAACGGGTCGTTTCAGCTGTCTTTCTATTTTGGTCAGGCACCGGGGAAAAATTGAACAAAATAACAGGCTGGCTACCTGAGACAAGGCCGTCCCATGCCATCCCTACTTATAGTGATTTTTCGGTTTTTTCTATGGGCTCCAAATGCCAAAGCATCATGCTCATGCATTCTCATTCATTTTCTAGCGCATGCCTTTGAAAGGGTGAGCCACAATCATCAAACACCATGAAACATTCTAAAAAATCAAGACCCAACATCCTAACCACAGCTTTGAACCACACCAACCCGCATTTGACATGGTCGAGGCTTGGCATGGGGCCCAGGAGTTTCACCCATGCTCAGGGATTTTCGTGCATTTTCTAGCATTCGGTGTCAAACAGGTGCACCATCAAGCAGTCTAAAAGATCAAGACCCAACATCCCAACTGCAACTTTGAACCTTCCGCGCAAGCCCCCAAAGGATCCCCAGGGAATGACCTGCAAGATTTCTTGGTTTCATTTTGGCGGCTTAAAAAGCTCCAGTTCCCACTCCCACGATTCTTTGGAGGTTTTCCACGGGGCCCAAATGCCACAGCACCAGTTTCATATATTTTCCGGCGGGTGGCTTTCAAAAAGTTGCACCAGAATCACTAAACACCATCAAACGTCCGAGATGATGCGCGGCAATGCGCGGGCCTTCTTCTACCCTATACTCAAGTTGGGGGCGCGGTGCACGGTCCGCGTTTGGTGGCGCTGCCGAAACTCGATTTCACCAATGACGTCAACTCTGTCCAGCACCAAAGCCATTTTGCCCGCACCCACTTTGCCGACTGCACTTTGGAGTCCCAAGCCCCCTGCTGTTTGCTGCCGCCCTACAGTTCCTCGGGCTTGACATTGCTCTGCATTAGTGGAGGATGGAATCCTTGCTGGTGACCTGGCGCAGCCGCCAGTGGTTTGGAGGTGAACCTTTCCATTGCCAGGTCATTGCGGTGGGCGCGGTCGACCATTCCGCTCTCCATGCCCATTTTCCTGATGCCATCCTCCGGCATCCCAACGCTTCAAGCAAAGTCGCCCATAACTTTGACTTGCTCGGGGCCGCCATTGGGGAGGACGAGTTCGTCCACCACTACACTGGGGCAGGCCGCCAAAGAGGGTGACCTTCTTGACGCCATCGACTTTCCGTTCCCCAAGTTAAGGCTCCGCCTGCTACGAACCTGCGCGGGCTTAGCCCGGCTGGTCCATAGCATGCGCTGCAACCCACCTGTGGCCCAAAGCATTGCCCTCAGCATGTTTGATGGCATGGCGCGGCGGAGTTTCAATGATTTCACGGGCCTTCACCCGACAGCGCTGCAATGGCAACAGGCTTCGGGCTCGCTGCTGCAGGGCTGGGGCTTCGGTCTATGCTTGTGACCACGCTCTGGCTGCATACCTGCTTCCTTCGACGCTGCCCTTCGCTCAGCCTCGGCCTGTGAACTTTTTATAAAACACTGCGTGGCAGGCGTGGCACTTGGCGAGACTCTCACATGCTTGAAAAAGTGCTGCCAACGTTTTGCGTGACAGGCGCAATACTGGTGATACTTTTGCAAGGTTTTCAGACGATGACGATGCCTTGCATTTTTGGTGGCAGGCGCGGCGCTTTGGATGTGTCCATCTTGCTATTGCGTGGCAGGCGCGGCACTTCAGACTTGCCAGAGCTGCGTCAAGCGGTGACAACGTGCAAATTGCGTGGCAGGTGTGTGACATCATGAGACTGTGAAGTTGCGAGGCAAAGGCAGAATTTGGCGCAGGTCTGTGGAGCGTGGAATGTCATTTTGCGTGGCAAACGCAGTATTTGGGACGCTCTACACTGCGCACTTTACACTCAACACTCTACGCATGACACTCCACACTCTGCACTCCACACTTTACACTCTGCACTTTGCACTTTAAGCTGTGCACTCTACACTCCACATTTTACAATTTACACTTTGCACTACACAAACCGCCCTCTACACTCCACATTTTAAACTTTACACTCTACACTCTACACTTTTCACTTCACACTTACACTTTACCCCTGAGACTCCACACTCCACACTTTACAATCTACACTCCACACTCTACACTTTACACTCCCCACTTTACACTTTACACTCCACACCCTATACACTTTACACTCCACACCCTATACACTTTACACTTGAGACTCCACACTTTACACTTTACGCTCCAGACTCCACGCTTTGAACTTCACACTCCACATTTTACACTCCACACTCTGAACTTTACGCTCCACACGTCCACACTCTACACTTTACTCTCCACACTTTTCACTTTCCACTTGAGACTCCACACTCCACACTTTACACTCTACACTCCACACTCTACACTCCACACTCCACACCCGACACTTTACACTCCACACTTTACACTCTACACTTTTCACTCTACACTCTACACTTTTCACTCCACACTCTACGCTTTGAACTTCGCACTCCACACTTTACACTTTACACTCCACACTCTACACTCTACACTTTACACTCCACACACTACATTTTACACTTGAGACCCCACACTCCACACTTTATACTCTGCACTCCACACTCTACACTTTACTGTTTTGCACTCCGCACTTTGCACTTTACACTTTACACACCACACCCTACACTGTACACTTTACACTCCACACTCTACAGTTTACACACCACACTTTACACTTTGCACTCCACACTTCACACTTTACACTCCACACTCTACACGTTACACTTTTCTCTCCGCACTTTACGCTTAGCACTTTACACCCTACACACTCTACACTTTACACTCCACCCTTTACACTTTACACTCCACACTCGACACTCTACACTCCACACTTCACAACACTTTACACATCAAGTCCACACTGTACACTTTACACTCTACGCTTTACACTTTACACTTCGCACTCCACACTTCACACTTTTTGCTTTACACTTTACACTCCACACTCTACACTTTACACTCCGCACTTTGCACTTTACACTTTACACTCCACCCTTGTTTACACTTTACACTCCACACCCTACACTTTCCACTTGAGACTCCACACTCCACACTTTCCACTTCATTCCCCACGCTTTGAACTGTACACTCCACACTCTACACTTTACATTCCACACTGCACACTTTACACTCCAGACTCCACACTTTACACTTTACACTTCACACTCCACACTTCACACTCCACACTTTACGTTTCACACTCCACACTGTACCCTTTACAATCCACATTTTCCACTCCACAATTCACACTTCACTTTGCTCTCCACACTTTACACTTTACTCTCTACACTCTACACTTTACACTCTGCACTCCACAGTTTACACTCCACCGTTTGCACTTTACACTTTCAACTTCACACTCCAAATTTTACACTTCACACTTCACACTCCGCACTCTACACTTTACATTCTGAACTCTACACTCTACACTCCACAATTCAAACTTTACACTTCACACGTTAAACTTGACACTCCGCACTTTCCGCTCCACACTCTACACTTTACACTCCACACTCTACATTTTACACTTGAGACCCCGCACTCCACACTTTACACTCTGCACTCCACACTCTACACTTTACGCTTAACACTCCGCACTTTACACTTTACACTTTACACTCCACTCTTTACACTTGACACTTTACACTCCACACTGTACACTCCACACTTTTCACTTTTCACTCTTGATTTCACACTACAGTCCACACTCTACACTTTACACTCTACACTCCACACTATACACTCCGCACTCCACACTTCACACTTTTTGCTTTACACTTTACACTTTACACTCCACACTCTACACTTTACACTCCGCACTCCGCACTCTACACTTCACACTTTTCACTTCACACTTTACACTCCACACTCTACACTTCACACTTTACACCCCACACTTTACACCCTACACTCCACAAACGGCACTTCACACACTACACTATATTCCCCACTCAACACTCCGAAGTTCACGGAAGCCAGATTAATGCCACGGCCGGGGAGTTCTGTGGAAGTTGCAGCCGGAGACTCAGCATTGATCTTAGCTGTTCAGCCCCATAGCCTTTGAAAAGGACCGGCCATGGTGCATCTTTGAAGACGAACGTCGTAGTTAGTTGGCTTGCAAACAAGGCTTTGACGCAGCTTCTCGGAGGCTCCTTTCACGCAGACTTCCAAGCTTAATTTCGATGAAATTTCTTCACGTGTTCAGGAATTTCAAACGCGCGTTAATCTCTGCCAACTACATTCCTGAAGTAGAAATATGGCTCCCCAGGTGAAGCGGCTTTCACGCATTCTCCCAGAGGACTTGTCCCGTTGGTGTGTTTGATGATGCCCTGGACCGGTGCAGCCTGGCAGGACACCAACCTGCGTCTCCCTTATTGCTCGAAACCAAGCCATTCAAGATATTTCCGCAATACCAGTCGGTGCATGGAACAAAAATGAACCAAACCAAAGAGCATTGTAGCGGTTGGCGCAGCTTCCTGACTGTGTTGAAGGCTGGTCTTGGTTGGGGATCCTGGGGCAGAAGCCCCTTCACATGTTTGGCAGGCTGGAACACAAAAGCCATGCAAGATTCAATATTCGAGCTATGTCCCTGTGACCTTGTGTTTCCAGATGTCCTTCCTCGGATTCGAACGTCTTCATGCAAGTGGGTGCCAGGACGCTATCTTGCTTCTGTTCACCGTGAATTTTGATTCGCTTGATTGAACTAAGTTTGATTTGAATTTTGCACCATCGGCTTTCTCCTCCCCCCTCCCTCCCCCTCTCCCTCACCCT